TTTTCTAAAGGTATTTTTATAAAAATTGTGGTCAAATCTTTTACTTTATTTTATATGCCTAAATAATTAGTGAAAGATAATTTTAAAAAAAAAAAAAAAATTAATTTTGCCTAAAAAAATTTTGTACTTAAATTTTTTTTTTTTAGATTTTTATGCAATAACTCACAGATCCGACCATTGACTCCCCAATTCAACTAGTAACCCGAAACCCAATACCTTGTTCGAGTTGATGTTCGAATCGAGTCTAATAACTATGAATATGACCTATACAATTCGACATGCATTGACATTTCTCTCAAAATTATGCACACTGTTACTACTTTACCTCTCTATAAAAACCCCTCCCACACTCTCCATCATAAATTAATGAGCATTTTTTTATAATATCTTTATACAGTCCCATTCGAAAGTAACAATTGCCTGACAACATATACTGTGTAACGGTTGAATTGATGATTAAAATTTTTAAACAATTGCTCCCAGACAGACGTTTAATATTTACGCTCACATTAACTATCAGGTCCAAGAAATAACTCCAAAAAATTAGACATCTATGCTCTCATCAGGCGATCAAAAGAAGAGTTGATCACATTTTTCTTAGCCTTGCCCATATATAGGGTATTTTGAAAATGCCCGAAGGCTAGGCGTATCCAGACACACTTTTTCATTCCTTTTAGAACATTCGTAATAACTAGCAAGTTACATTTGTTATTGTACTCATTTCCTCTCCATTCTAAACCGATTGGACCCCAAACCTTGTATATTTTGATTATGCATTGCGACTCTAGTTTTCGATCCACTAAAAATAAACAATCAATAGAAGTTACATAATCAGAAAACTCGGTAATATCGGTGAAAATTCAGAATATACCATCTTTATTTAAGTGGCTACTTCTTTATGTAACGTGCCGATTTGCGTATATTGTGATGTAAATAAAACCGTCTCTTGTGGGAAAAAAATAATAAAAAAGAAGAAAATTAATAATTAATAACCACCATAGCAACTAACGACTTTTTGCGGAAATAAGTGATTGTTAAAGTAAAAGTATAAACACAACGTGACAAAATAAGTAGAAGAAATACAATTGTAATTTGCCTTTGTCTATATCCGTTACATGTTGCTGAGTCAGCCCTCAACCAAAGAACTCCCCAAATCTCCAATCACTTTCTTTTCCCTTTAATTATATTATATAGAGGGATATATTTCGTATATATATTTTCCTCTTTCGTTTTTCATCAATCAATTGTTTGTTTATTTGTCTCTCATCTCAATTCTCTTGAAGAATTGCATTGCGTAAGTAATAGAGTGGTTGAATGTAATCACGCTCCGTCCTCAGGTGATTTTTTCGTTTCAAAATTCAATTTTGATTATTATTTTTTATTACTGTTTGATTGATTGTGTTTTGAAGTGAGTGTAATGTGATTTTAAGTTTTTGATGGATATGTGCATAGATTAGGTTCTGATTGACGTTTTGATTTGCTAAGTTACATTTTTTGTATAGCTAAAAGAATGGTGATTTAATTGACTTAGAATACAATGGATTTAGTTTTGTTAAGTAGCTGATCATAATGGCCTGGTGTTTCTTTGCAATTGTAGATGGGAATCATACACAATCAGGGAGTTTTGTTAAAAAGTTGAGGGCTTTCTTTATCATTGATACAAGACTTCACTTCTAGTTTTTCTCTGTTGCCTTTTTATCTTACATTTTTTTCTAACACGTGTAATTGAAATGATATTCGTGGTTTTTATATGTGCATGGAGATCAAACTCCACTTGTATTTTCTGAATAGGTCTTGAAGTCAATTTTTCCTGTGACGGGGTATAATTTTGAGGCTTTGCTTTGTTATGGCTTGTGGGTAATACACCGGTTCAAATTTTTCATTGTTCCATGGTTGACATAATGATAAAGTTATATAGCTTGCTTGGTGATATGGATGTCCAACACTGGTAAATGTTCATTTTAACATGAAAGATCCAGGTGCCATAGCCACGTGTCTAACAGAGTATCCAACCTTAACAGAAGGGACCATGTAACATTGCTTCAAATTATCCAAATTTTGGGTGATATTTAAAAAAATTAACGAATAAGTACTTGGTTTCAGAATTTTTTTAAATTGGCAACCTTTTACTAATATGATTTCCATAGCTCAAGACTTAGTGAAATGACCAGAATAACTCTATTCGCATAACTTACGTTTCATGAACTTTACAAACGAACCAGGAGTGATCTCTATAATTTATCACTTTCGTCCTTCCTAATTTTTTTTGTTTTTAAGTTCCTTTTCCTTACACTAGATTACATCTGTTATCTATTTTCATCATTTGGATTTACATGATGACCTACTCTCGCTAGTTTGAAGTTCAGAAGTTAGATGATATAAATTTCTGGTGAGAAAATTGGGAAGGGTTTCCCATGCTTTTCTATTCTGTGTCTCGAGAAGGTGTGGACTGTGGAAAACAGTAGTTTAATATTCAGATACCAGCTAATTTGCAGGGAAAGAAGGAAAAAAAAAAAAAAAACCATGCTTTTCTATTCTGTGTCTCGAGAAGGTGTGGACTGTGGAAAACAGTAGTTTAATATTCAGATACCAGCTAATTTGCAGGGAAAGAAGGAAAAAAAAAAAGTGGCACCTGCTTTAATGAAACTTCTTCAAACTACCATCCCAGGGACTTTAACTTGTGCTTCACCTTTTAGCTTTTAGACATGCTCAACTACGCAATGCATTGTTAATTTGTAACTTCTAAACATATGCTGTTGTGAAAAAGGTGTTTATAGCTGATGAAAATCAGAGAAACAGTTAATGAAGTCATGTAACTATGTCCTTTGTATAATCATAAAAGAGAGTCTAACTTAGAATCTTTTAATCATAACACATTTCAATGAAACAGACTCCAGTAGCTTTCATTGCTGTCTACAGGAGTTTTTTCAGTTTTGAGCAAGACTGATTGCTGTTTGTTATTATACCTCAGGAAATGGATAACAGAGGTATTACTGCAGAATCACTTTTAAGAAACTACAGACTTGGAAAGACACTTGGGCATGGTTCATTTGGAAAAGTTAAAATTGCTGAGCATGTTCAGACCAGATATAAAGTGGCTATCAAAATCCTCAACCGTCGTAAAATGAAGAGCCCTGACATGGAGGAAAAAGGTATGACTCTTGGATGAAGATAACATGTGTGACAAATGTTATCTCTACTTAGTTAGTTTACTAGTGTTTGATGTTTTCTGAAATGCTTTATTTTTTATTAAAAAAATGATTTTGTTGATTCTGTCAAATTTATTTCTATTTTGTTCTCAGTGTTCGCTTTAAGTCATATTTTCTTTGAGAGTAAAAAATATGTTGTGGCTGTCTAAGTGCCATTCTTTATGCAGTGAGAAGAGAAATTAAAATATGTAGATTATTCGTGCATCCACATGTGATACGGCTTTATGAGGTTATAGAGACTCCAACTGACATATATGTTGTCATGGAATACGTAAAGCATGGAGAACTCTTTGATTACATCGTTGAAAAGGGTAGGTTACAAGAGGATGAAGCTCGACGCTTTTTTCAGCAGGTAGAATTCCCTACCATTTGTCTGTTTCAGTGCTTATATGATTAGTGTCCAGACCCAACAAATTGGACATAAATTTTGTTGCTGTTGAGTTAATCCTTCATGTATTTTCCTTTGGAAACAGATTATTTCAGGAGTGGAGTATTGCCATAGGAACATGGTGGTTCATCGGGACCTCAAGCCTGAGAACCTGCTTCTGGATTCTAGGGGCAATGTGAAGCTAGCTGATTTTGGATTGAGCAACATTATGAGGGATGGACATTTTCTGAGAACAAGTTGTGGGAGCCCAAATTATGCTGCTCCTGAGGTTTTAAATCAAAGAGATTAATATGACTGTATTATCTTTTGAACAAGAGTAATAATAACTTGTCCTATGAGGTTATGCTTTGGAAGTTATGTTGCTTGAACAGAACTTGATTGCAGGTGGTTTCTGGGAAACTTTATGCTGGCCCTGAGGTAGATATTTGGAGCTGTGGTGTTATCTTGTATGCTCTTCTTTGTGGGACTCTTCCTTTTGATGATGAAAATATTCCCAACCTCTTTAAGAAAATAAAGGTACACACACTAATCTATTTTTGTACTTACATTAATTGAATATGCCAGTTTATGAACTGAGATGATCATTATTTTCTACATTTTTATTTGAAAATTTTAGAGTGGATTGTATACTCTTCCAAGTCATTTGTCACCTGGAGCTCGGGACTTGATTCCAAGAATGCTGGTAGTAGACCCTATGAAGCGGATAACTATTCCTGAGATTCGTCGGCACCATTGGTTCAAGGATCGTCTTCCTCGCTATTTAGCTGTTCATCCACCTGATGCAAGGGAACACTTGAAAAAGGTACCTGCACTGTCATTTATAAGTTGGCCGTGTAAACTGATAGTTTCTGGTGGAATGACAGTTTTCTTGATGATAATTAACATTTTAAATTGATTACCTTATCTTTGTTGCACGACACTTTTATCTGATCTATGTGACAGTTACAAGAATGGCACGGAAGTTAACTATACCTGATGACGTTTTCTTTTTTGAGAACTTTGGAATGTGATCTTAGTATCTTACTTCTCTCTCCCTCGCGTTTACTTTTTGCTCAAGCAATGGTTAAATGAGATTATGGTAAAATAAGGATTCATTTAGTGCCCCCCTAGTTTCTCTAATATTCCTTCAAGACCCAATTTTTAACTTTTTTTATATGCCTTTGTTTGAAGCATGGAAAGAGGACTGTGGTTGTTTTTATACCTTTTCTTTTCAAAAGACTGTATACATCTAAATATAGGTTTTTACACCTATATTTAGCTATCAACGGGGGGTTTGGCATTGACCTTTAGAATTCATACAAATGAGGAGCATCTAACCTTATCTCCAGATTTACAAGGAGGAGAAAAGTATTTGTGGGAGCTATCAATTTGGGAAAAAGAGTACTATTACTCCCATTACAAGGTCGTATAAAAGAATAATCTTCTATTACAAGGTCTAAGAATTATCTTCTAAACATTCAACCATTATAGTTTTATTTAATGTCTGCATTTTTCTTTTTTTCAAAACCACTTCTGCTGGGATAGGAGTTTTTGTGCTCCTACAAATAGTGCAATTGGGGAGGGTGGGTGGGTGGGGGGGTTGGCATTGTCTCCTACTCGTTTATTAATATATAAATGAAGTATGTGGAGGGGGATGTTGAGCCTTATCTCCTAACAAGGATACTAAAAAGAACTTGTGAAACTTAAACAAGGGTACTCTCCCCTTACACATTTTGGGGCCTATTCTTAGCTTACCTTCATTTAATTCTTATTTAGCCCTTGTTTGAGACCCATTTTTGGATGAAATGTATTCTGGAATAGTTATTTTTTGGAGAACATGTGGTTAAAAAATAAAGAAAAGTTTGGAGTTTACGTGTAAAATTATTTTATGAGAGAATGTGTGGTTAAAAATAAATTTTGGAAAAATGAGTTTTGAGAAAAATAGGGGTCAAACAAGGGCTTAGTGTCTACATTGAAGGTTTTATATATGATTGTTATTATAGTTGGATGCCAATAACAAGGTTCATATATCTGTCATGGTGTGATAATAATAATAGCTGCTTTGTTACCACAATTTACCCAAATTAGATTTTGTAAACTTCTGGTTACTTGCAGCAGTTTGCTTTGTTTCCAATGCTGACATAACCTTGAACCAATTTGCTTACTTTGCAGCTTGACGAGGAGATCATTCGAGAAGTACTGAAGATGGGATTTGATAAAAACATGCTGATTGAGTCTCTTCAGAATAGACTGCAAAATGATGTATTCAGATTATATACCTTCACTGTCCACAATTTTATTACTGTGCCACTTGAATAAACAATTATCGGCTTATGTTGCAGGCTACTGTTGCATACTACTTGTTACTTGACAACCGGTCCCCCGTTTTCACTGGCTATTTAGGAGATGAATTTCAGGAGTCCATGGTATGCATTTCTCTCTCTTTCATTTTTTTTTTTTTTTTGTAAAAATTCATATAGAGATGGATTAGAGTTTTTAGGCTCCTTATCATCTTAAATTTTGGGTTTGGCTTTTTCCCCTACCCTAGTATATCGAATAGCAAGAATACATAAAGGAAGGGAGACCTCCAGATTACATGGGGGATTTGGAGATGTTGATGGATGTATACCCATTTAAGCACAATATACGAGAAACAGAATTATTTTACAACAAATATATTGTTTACTTTACCTCCTAATATAAGGTAGCTCTAATCTGTCAAGTTTTAGAATTCCAACAACGAGGCCTGTAATTGTTCTTCTAGGATTTTGGGGATGTCCATGGTATGCCTGTTTCCTGATTTTGTATAATGATAGTCTTTATGTTTTAACTGGTTGTACTTTGTGCCAAAAGCCATTACATTTACGAGACCACTACACACAACCTTAAACACTTTTTGTCATTGTTTATAACGATTTTCCTAGTAATACAAGCCCTCGTGGTTCCAAATCTTTGATCTTCTGCTCTTACCTTTGGTTTGAAATTATGCTAGATCTTGACACTGCTGCCTCTAGATGCTTCTCTGTTGCTTTTATGTATCAAAGCTTTAATACACTTCAACAGTTACTGTATACTTCTTGAATAAGAGGGCTAGATTTAGTTCTGCAGCCCAAAACCTTTTCACCTTATTTCTATGTTGCTTTGTGTTTCTACTCAAGATAGTCCTGCTTTTGAGATAGCCTAACAAGCGAACAGATTATTAATTGTGATACTAAAGTGTTAAGGAGTTGCCATTTTGCAATGGAAGATACAATGGCAAATGCCAAAGTTTGAAAATGGAAAAGAAGAAACTCTTGATTTCATATACTTTGCCTTTTATCCTTTGAAAAAAATATTGACTAGTAACTAAACTGTTCATTAGCCAGAAAAATATTTCCAGTATTTGTGCCATGCTCCATTTAATGTCCAATGTTATAAATTTATATTAAGACACCAATATGCTACGGTATTCAAACTTTTATTTTTCTTCCAATTTGAGCAAGAGTTCATTGCAAGATTAAACTTTGACAAGATAGGACAGTTTTTCTTACCACAATACTGAAGGCACAATTCCCACTCCGTAATGACTAAATTTTCCAGGTTTTTTATCTTGTAATCCAGTCGATGTCTATTCAAGCTCTTATTCACTTGTTATGGTCTTTCTTATTAAGTTGAAGCAACTTTTGGCTTCATTCTTTTTTGCTTTTTAAGCGTATGGAAGACAATTTCCCCTTTTTCCTCGTCCGTAATTCATAACACTCATGGTCTTGCTGCCTTGGAAGCTCGCTGGGTTTTCCTTATTTTGCCTTTGTAACTTCTGAAAATCTATGGTCTTACCTGATGCATTTATCTGTCTTCAGGAGGCTTCTCCCACAGTATTTTATCCACAAGTTGATACACCTGGCCTTGCTCAGGATAGGAATTTGAGACCCCCGTTTCCAAGACAGAAGCAGTGGCTTGTTGGACTTCAGGTACATTTTGTAGTATCAATTTTGTTTTTCTGTGGAGATTGAGTAATAAAAGGAAGCTTATACACTGTTAGGAGGATCCCAATGCTGACACGAAGTCTTAACATTTTCAACGAGGAACTTTGCTAAATATCCATGATACGAATTGTGGAAAAAAATGATTGCATGCAATTTTTCAATCCATACGTATTTAGGTATTATGAGTTTCATCAACATAACATAGTTGTTACTTTGTCAGTCTCCTGCACATCCGCGAGAGATAATGACACAGGTTCTTGGAGTTTTCCAAGAACTCAGTGTTAGGTGGAAAAAGATTGGGCACTATAACATGAAGTGCCTCTGGATTCGTGGTTTTCAGCACCCTGAGAATATGATCTATAATCATATGAACGCCAACCATTACCCGGATAATGTTATACCCATCAATTCCAACCTTTTACAGACTCGGGCTGTGGTGAAGTTTGAAATTCAGGTATTATTTATAATCTATCTCTCTGTTTATCTCATTTTATTCTCAAACATGGTATCTTCTTAAGCACATTTAGTCATATGAACCTAAGATGGTAAACGAAATAGACAAAAAAGAAGAGGTTCAACTTTGAAATCTACTTCTCTCATTCTTTGTCTCGATTTTCAGCATGCTCCCCTTTGTCTTTTTCTTCCTGATCTTGCATTAGTATTACGAGTGACAAGTTGAGTTTTTAAGTTCATGAGCCATGTATATCACACTGAATGATGTATACTGATTTTTAGTTCACAAGGGATAATTTTGAAAAGCTGTCTATTTTCATGTGGACACTCAGACATAAAAGCATACGTGCACAATAGATCCTCTTTCTTTCCAAAGTGAACTCTCACAGCATCATTTTTGTCAGTTTCTTGATCCTTAACTCTTACAGTACTTTGCCTAAATCACCAATTGTGAACTTGCTCATTCATGTCCATGACAATCTCTCTGCTTTTTGTCATACAGCAGCTCATATGTTAGAAATGGCGCTCTTTAAAATTTAATAACATCGTTCTTTTTTCTAATACTATGTGAATTTGCGACAGCTGTACAAAACCAGCGACAAGAAGTACCTGCTCGATTTGCAGAGACTTAGTGGCCCACAGTTCCTCTTCCTAGATTTCTGTGCCACATTTATGATGCAGCTTGAGGTTTCTTAGTCATTGGATAGCAAAAACATGTTTGAATCAGGTTGTACACATAATTCCCCATCTGTATCTTGCAATCATGTTATCAACTTCTTCTTCTTGTTTGCCCAAACAAAGCCTGTAACTATTGAAGTTCTGAATTTTTCTCAAATCTTTTCGAACATCAAAAGTAATTGTTTGCTTTTTTGAATTGTTGTGGTTATTCTTGGAATTGATCCTCTGTATGAGATGATCTTCAAGGTCAATGTAAATGGTAAATGATATTTTGATGATTTATTCTTGCATGTATACATATTTGACTATGAGGGCCGATATAAATAACTGTGGTTTTTCAGTTTGCTAAAATATAAGTTGTTATTAGGGGCTCTCTTCATCTTTTGACGAACTTCAGTATATCCAGTTGACATGTTTGATACATTGAATAGAACGGGATTGTACAACATGGTTACAACTTTTATTCTGTATTTCTTTCATGGTGTTGTTCAGCTTTGTCAAATTCATAGTAAACATGTCCAAGTGTGTCATTACATTGCATATACTTTGTGGTAATTATTCTATAAATACAAGGGGAGAAAATAAAAATAGTGAATTCTTGTATTGAAAGGTTACCTATTATTTATCTAATAAACTGATAATAAATTAATTATTTTTCTTGATGCTATTTAACTCCTAACTAATCCAAAAGGAGGTTTCAAAAAAAGTAAAGAGTGTATTTGGTTTGGTGTTTTCAAGCTTCAATTTTGCAAAACATTGAAAATGTATTTAATCGAATATTTTTGAAAACGCATTTTCAAGAACAAAGTTAAACTTATAATATAAAACCCGGAACGTATTTTTGACTTTTGAAGCATTTTCAATGAAAATTCTAAAAATACTCAAAATATGGAAACAAACTTTTAAAGAAAATTTAAAAAATTCGAATTAATAAAAATTTAAAACTTAAAAAAAAAAATTGATAAATTCTAAAGTCTAAAATATAATTATAAAAAATAAGTAAAAATAATTCAAGCTCTTAATGATTATTTACATAAAAATTCTAAAAAAATATTTAATGAGCACAAATAAAAATATTCTCAGTCCACTTCATTAAATTTTATTTTTATTTCTTATATTTTAAACTCTATTTATTATTTATTTTACATCAATAATAATAAAATAATTCTAAAAAAATTGATAAATTCTAAAGTCAGGTTACCTATTATTTATCTAATAAAATGATAATAAATTAATTATTTTTCTTGATGCTATTTAATTCCTCACTAATCCAAAAGGAGGTTTCAAAAAACGTAAAGAGTGTATTTGGTTTGGTGTTTTCAAGCTTCAATTTTGCAAAACATTGAAAATGTATTTAGTCGAATATTTTTGAAAACGCATTTTCAAGAACAAAGTTAAACTTATAATATAAAACTCGGAACGTATTTTTTACGTTTGAAGCATTTTCAATGAAAATTCTAAAAATACTCAAAATATGGAAACAAACTTTTAAAGAAAATTTTAAAAATTCGAATTAATAAAAATTTAAAACTTTAAAAAAAAAAATCAAAAAATTAAAAAAAATTGATAAATTCTAAAAAAAAAATTAAAAAAATTAAAAAAATAAAGTCTAAAATATAATTATAAAAAAAAAAATTAATTCAAGCTCTTAATGATTATTTACATAAAAATTCTAAAAAAATTTTTAATGAGCACAAATAAAAATATTTTCAGTCCACTTCATTAAATTTTATTTTATTTCTTATATTTTAAACTCTATTTATTATTTATTTTACATCAATAGTAATAAAAAAAATATTGTAAAAGTCACCAATTTAAAATGTATATATTACTTAATAATGTATTAACAAATTGTTCCACCTTTACAAATTAATCAAATTTAATGGAATAAAATGTCATAAAACAATTTCCAAAATTTCAAACTAAATGTGTTTTTTCTAATTTTTTGTTTAGAGAAAAAAATTTCAAAATAACAAACCAAACGTGTTTTTAACTATTTTAAAATAGATCATCAAAAATCAAAAACTGAAACAAACAAAAACGAAATGGGCCCTTAACATTTAGTCACAACATGCTATATTAGTTTTGGTTTGCTACTTCCTCGAGAAAATCATATGTGCTACTGATTGTTGAAAGTGTTATGAAGATTAATGTCTAAAAAATGTCACCTGACAAGAATATCAAACTTAATGTAAAATTTAGTATACATGTAACTTGAATTTTTTTTTTTTCCCCTCATATCAAATGTGAAGAACTGAGAGTTTAATAAAACAAGATTAGGCAATTGTTTATTAGGAAATTGTTAACCTTCTCACAAAGGGGCATTAACTATGCTCTGATTGTTTGCCAAAAACACAAGTCTCCACAAAGTCATAAAATCATTTAAGGGGGTTGAAGCATGCCCAATGCAAGAAGATTAGGAAATCAATGACATGATAGGAAAGCCGAAGATCGAAGTTCTGATGATTGATGGCAGTAACTAACATGTTATTTTACAACGGAGTCGTCAAAATGTTGTATTCGGCTCTATGCAAATTTCTATTAATGAAATAGATGACATTGTGAAATGTAGAGGTTGAAATGAACCATCTAATATAATTTCCTAGCAGGAGTAGAAATAAGGAAAAAAAATGAATTAAAAATTGAGCAATTCTTATATAATTTCTTAGCATAAGACATTACAATTCAATAATTTCAATTAGTGGATACAACTTCTCTAATTAAAATCCTTGGTGGATTCCCACTTTTTGAAAAATATTGTTCATCCCCAAGGTGAATTTGAGGTTGGGAGTTTTAATATTGTATTGTCACTCTTGTTCATGTACTGAAAATCAAATACTAATCTTAGCAAGTGCGAAGGGTTGTGTTAGTTTTGGTCCATTCCACGTGTAACATGCACACGCTTTGATTGATATTATTGTCATTGTCATTGTCATCGTCATCGATGGGTGCATCTAATAAAAATAATAAATGACATTTTCGTAATCAGATTCAAATGCCTAATATAAAGGCATAACTTCAAATTATTTTTCCATAAAACAAAATAAAATGAAAAGTCAGACATTATTCTGCATAACACAATCTAAATGCAACTCATAATGATCAGAATTCAGAAAAAAATTAAAATTGCTTGAAAAGCTCAAGTGCATGCTCGATTCACAATTACTGAACATGACTGAATTAATATCTTTTTCTTCCTCTATCCAATCTTCTCAACCGAACATGCTATAAACGAATACATAAACATAAAATGGTGTCAATGAACTTGCACAAATGCCGGTTCTCTTCTCAAGGAAAATCTTCATCTTCCTTGAAAATTTTCAGCAAAAATAGGAGAACCCACAGCCAATCCGGAATCATCACCGATGTCAACTATCAGCTGTTTTTCTGAGTCCTTTCTACAGAGCTGGTCCATATTAGCAACTTTTGCATCTGTATTATCAGCAGGATCAAAATTTGTAGGGGAGGTTCCCTGAAGTTGTAGGGCATACTCTAAATTCCACAGTACGTCTCCCATGGAAGGCCGGTCGACCCCGTATTCTGCCAAGCATTTTTCTGCAGCCTCCACATATTTCCTCAATGACTCTGGTGTTATGGTTCCAACAATGTTGGGATCAACAATCGATTCGAGCTGGCCTTTTCTGTGCTGTTGCATAGCCCATTCAGCCAAATTTACCTGTTCTCTTGGAAGTGCAGGATCAAGAGCAGGCCTTGCACATAAAACCTCAAAAAGAACTACCCCGAATGAGTAAACATCAGATTTTTCTGTCAGTTGTTGTCTTCTGAAGTACTCAGGATCAAGATACCCGAAACTGCCCTTAACAGCTGTGCTAACATGTGTTTGATCTAAGGAAGCCGGTCCAGCTTTAGACAAACCAAAATCAGAAACTTTGGCCCCAAAGTTTTCATCCAAGAGAATGTTGGTAGTTTTCACGTCACGATGAATTATCCCTTGTGCAGAACCAGTGTGCAGGTAGTGCAGCCCGCGTGCTGCACCAATGCAAATCTCGAGCCTTTGCCTCCATGATAAATGAGGCAAGCTTGATCCGTAAAGGTGGTCACGTAGTGGACCATAGGCCATATACTCATAGACGAGGATCATTTCCGATTGCTCGTCGCAGTATCCAATGAGTGAAACGAGATGGCGATGCCTGAGCTTGGAAAGCATTTGAATTTCCGTTTGGAATTCATTGATGCCTTGAGATGATGATGGATTACCTCGTTTTATGGCAAGCTTCGTCCCATCCTCCGACTCGCCAAGATAGACCTTTCCAAAACCACCCACCCCAATGACTGCTTTTTCATCGAAAGATTTTGTTGCTTCACGTAGTTCATTGAGAGTGAAGAACCGGCCAAGATTGAGCCCTGAAGATACAAAACTTGGAAAAGTAGTACTCCTGCTCTTGCTCTTGCTGGATAAGAAACTACAATAGCTGGCATTAAGAGGAAGAAGCCACGATGAGAAGGTTTTCTGTTTCTCATAACCTTTAGGCCTTCTCAGTCGTCGCAAAACGCCTAATAACAGCAACGCTATTGCTGTTACCCCTAATGCTATAACAAAACCAACAGCAATTTTCATTGTAAGAGAAGGCCTGGAGTGTCGACCTCTGTAAGTACCGTCAGAAGAGAAGAGTCCATCCAAACTCCATGCTGAATTGCTCATCTTCATCACCTCCACACCGTTTAAGATTGCATTCGGGAAACTTGACGGTGAAGTTGAGCTCGGGCCCACCTGAATGATGACAGAACCATTGGAAATTGCTGAGGCATTGATCACAAAATCTTTGTAATAAGGAATGCCTAGACCTGAAGTGAGTGAAGAGAGATCAAGATTTGAAACTGCAATCATTCCATTGACATAGACATTGAAGTAAAGCTCATTAAGGCCCTTGCTCACAATATCACAGAAATGCAATCTTATCAAATAAGAGAAGGTGGGATCCACATTCATATCCCATGTGAGGTTGAAGTTTGGATTCGAAACACCCGACTCTGCCATTTGATCGGCCGTTGCATATACCCAGGGTGGGGCCGTCAAAGGGGTGGCGCCACCGTCCGGATATTGTATCATATCTGTTGGAACTGAAACATTTTTAGCCCCAAGTGGGAAAATCATAAATTGACCATCAGGAAGCCACGTCCTCCACAATGTGTCATTTTTAGGAGTAATGATTGGCCCTCCAACATTAAGCCTATAAGAAACTTCAAATGCACGATCATTTAAGCCATTGAAGTCCCCCACCGGAAAAACAGCAGATGCCGAATCAGAAACAAGATCATCGGGTGCTGAGACAAGCTCAATCGCGTTAATGAACGCGAAGGAATTCTTCATTGGTGAAAACTTGAGGGTGAATTTATCTGATGTAATGTTGATAAGGTACTCTTTGAATACATTTTTGGTACTATCCTTCACAGAAAAACCGTGCAAAAGAACAATACTGTCTGTGGTGACAGTAAATGTAGCAGAAGTCAAATTGTAGGTGGAGTGAGGTAGAGGATAGAAATACAGTCTTAGCCAATGCCGGCCAGGGCGAAAGACAAGAAATCTGTACATTGATTCATGATGAAAAATCCTCGCCGTGAGATACAAAAGAAGGGACGAGGAAGAAGAAGAGGACGACGAGGAAGAGGGGGAGACATTTTTCGGTAACGAGGTAATAGAAGTTAGAATATTTTCATCTGTGGAGAGGTAAGCAGCAGATTGAGGATCAGACTTGAAGGTTCGACCATCTTCGAGCAAAGTATTATCTGGTGCACCACAATTGATCAGATAATTATCAGCAGGCGTATACGAAGAAGACTTAACGCCTAATGCTACATCGATACACATAGAAGCAAGAATGAGAGAACAGAGGACAATAAGGGGAATAAAGTCGAGTTTTTGCCATCCCCACCGTGCTTCTCCTCCCATGGTATTGGGGCAGGATACTCGTAGTGGCAGTGTTAGGCAGGTCGTGATGGAGGGGGAGGAGGCAGTTTTGGTGAAATAGACAGAGAAGAAAACCGAATGCTAATGCGTAAAATGGTATAGAAGAGAGTGTTTACCAAATACTATTTAACAATAGTTGTGGGCTGCATGATTGGGAAGAACGTGAACGTGCAATGTTGTATATGTAAGAAGAGTTCTTGATTCTGACTTTTTGTGCTCAACAACAACATTAGGCAGCCAAAAGACGGTTATGATACGTTTAAAAAAATGCTAAACTCGACCAGTGCTGTGTACTAAACACGAATTTATTTTATATGTTTGAAGGTAACTCCCTACTGTTTCAGAGAAATTGAAAGTTCAAAGCGCGTATCCAGCTGGGAAATGGCTTGAAGGTGCCTTTGTTTAATTGGTTGACCTGGAGTATATAGTGCCATCTCATTTTATAAACATGTTTAAGGGTAAAAGGACCTGTTTTTGGATAATAGTTGAGGGAATGGTGGCGGATTTAACGCCGGGAATGAGAATGATTTCCTTGTATATAAATTATTGATATTAGGGTCGACTAGAACCAGCAACGAGGTCAAATAATATCGACACTAGACACTACCTTAGGCTGTTAGGCATATGAGGTCCCGACCTCCATATGCAAAGAGATTTCCCCGGAGCATGGACATCCCGACCTAGAACCAAATACAATTATACATAAAATTTTGTGCATTTCAGCTTGTGTGTATTTGTTCGTTCGAACTAAAGGTCTGATTCGGGATAGCTTTGGGTCCAACTTCTACGAGCTTCATCAGGATGCAACCTTGAACATCTGATAGAAGCTCTTCTATTTAAACAAATCACTTTTAGAAAATTATTCAATAAATTCAAATATAACTTTTTAGCGTCAAAGGGAATTTTTGACTTTTCAAATGTCATACCAAACTAATAATTGTCATATTAAAACTGTAGAACAAAAGAGGAAAGTTGTAACAAACGAATCAAAATTTTCTTTCTTACTATATACTGTAATATGATTCTGGGTTAATTTCTTGTTACAATAAGAACTTTTAGTCCACAAAGAGAGCAAAAAATAATTCATTCTTCCTCTTTCTTACTTTCCTTTTCTCAATCAAAATCCACTTGTATAGGTGTGGATCAAAGAATGTAGAATAGCCTGTCCGTGAACACAAGCATATAAACAATCACAGTGTGGAATAGTGTTACATATTTTATCGTATTCATTGCAGTCGACATCCTTGTTCTTCCGCCTTCATATAAACAAGTCCGCGTTTAATCCTCTGCACGAAAATCCCACGTGTGAGGATAATATATGGTCAATAATAACATGAAATTAAGTTATGGCGATAATCTAATGGTAATACACTACTATAGTTGGTCCTAATTTAAGATACAGACGCTTAACATTATATTAAATGACAGTTGACATAAGAACTACTATATATTTTGGCTTTTAAAGTATTTAAATACTTGGCGTAATATATGTAAATGTCAATCAATAACAAAACATATTTGGAAGATAAATACAAATTCAGAAGCAATACCTCTTTTGTATTTCTTAAGCGAAGGAGATCCAACCTTTCTGAAGGCCTACGATTTGTCAAGGTTGCCAGCTGCATTCATGCATTACAATGTTTAAAAACTACAAACTTAGTTGATAGAAAAAATGTGTTAAAATGTATACCCAAAAACTGAACCGCTCAGGATCCCAGGTCGAGGGCATTAATCCTTCTGCTTTAAAGAGTTCTGCAAGCCTTATTCGATCTGCAACCAAAACCTTCGCATTGATTATTAAGAATCGGAAGAATTCTCACATTATAGATTGTCAATCATCAACATCTTAGTTATTCAGAAAGCTGAAAGATTTTCTCGTTAATAACTACCTCCTTGTGCTGCTTCCTGTGCCGCCTTCATCCACTCACGAGCAAAAGTTGCTGCCTTGTCTGTCATCTCCATTAACTGTAGTTTTGCAAAATTAATTTTCATATACCAAAATGACATTCGAGGCTTTGGAGTTTCATAACAAACATTCAAGCAGTGTATGAGAATTCTACACAAAATAGTTCATGTGGTAACAGAATTTGAAATAATTCACCTCCTGTAGATCCACCAATGTTGAGGATCAAGACGCAGTTTCAAACCAAACCAAAGAATTCGATTATGCAACTAATTATGGTTTTCAATAGAAAGACAGATTCCTAACATACATTAAGGGTAAAAATGACAAGGTAAATAATGGTAACAGATACTAGCATTCCATGAAACTGCACAAGATGAAGCCATATAGAACATCAAAGTACTAATGATCTGTGTAACTTTTAGGAATTTCCCTTCAGCGAAAGCCTCAGAAGACCTTCACAAAACAGTGCAGTCTATCAAGTCTCGTGGACAAAATGGCACTTACGTCATTTCTCTCTGGTGTTCCTTCTGTTGGATGTACATCCTGCACCCATTCAACCTCAGCAATGCGGTACCTGCAGAAATAAGGATAAAATAGAGTAAAGATTCAATTAGAAGAAGCTCATGTCATGGTGAATGATGGTCATGGATATCAACCGTCCGAGAATTGTACAGGTAATGAAATCTTACCCATCTTGCTCCCAATTCCGAATGATGCGGCATCTCCTGCGACTTTCAACCTGAATCAGCAAGGAGACAAAAATGATTAGCTTAATTATGGAAAAACAAGAAGACACTGCAAAATTCATGCATATTTTAATTAGAATAACCAAATGTTTGAAAATTTTCCTTATTCGTCCTCAGAAGTCCAGACATTAAACATAAACATAATGCTCAAGAGGGAGCATCTCAGATTTTAAGAGGGTGATAATTTGTGGGCAGAGGCAGTAAGGAGATACTCTGCCATCAACAGATTTCTAAAGATTCAGGAACCAAATTCAAAACAATTTTTTTTTTTAATAGAAAATAAGTATTGCCTATGCATGGCAGAATGCTAAAAGCCATCAAGCAACTTAGGCTTCTGTAATACCCACAGCATTTTGCTAAATGAACAAGATCTGATCATACTTCAACCTGACATATGTCGAGACCAGGATAGAACACAATCCAGTGTCATTTATGACAAACCAGATGTCTCTCAGTACCAACAGTAAAGACAATTAACGGTCCTAAAATATACAAAATTTAGAATATGGGCTTTCTTCATTATTGCAGCAAGCTGGCAACATCCATGAAAAATGTAGAGTAAAACAAAAGTACTGAAAGTAATATATATAAAAATATATAAAAACATAAAATTCAATAATATTTTACCTCTAAAAAGAAACGTCCATCTGGAAGTGGCTCGCAGCTGCGTTAAGATCAGAATTAATCATCATCTATGAGCCAGAAGCACCAATAAGACAGAACTCATTCTTGCAGAAACAATATGAAAAAAAAAAATCACTCCAAAACCTACTCTGTAATCTCCACTTCACATGCATAATCAGCTATTGAACCAGTAGACGAGTCAATTATGACCTACATCAGCAAAAAAGAGGCAATAGCCAGGAACAGTGAGGAAATATAGACCAAGAATATGTATCTTGAGAATATGACATAGAAGAAAACAGTAAAGGAGGACCTGGTGAATGAACCTACCATTCCCATACGTCGATTTCCTTCCATTATCCTCCTCACCTGTTTCAAGCACAACCAGAATGGAACTTCAAAATCAGCCATAAACTAAACATCAGCTTATGCAAATGACTAAATTGGCTACACATCTCAATTAGTTGATAAGATGACTGCCCAAAAAGCTTAGCATTTAAGAATCTCATGAAGCACAATATCACCTCATACTCAAACAGCACAGAATTATTCCATTTTCTTTGTCAAGAATTTCCTGATACAATTGTTCCTCGTTGCTTATGATAAGAACACAAAACGAATGATTGTTCCAAGCATGCATTTTTGTCCAAGCAAATGATATTTAACATGCATGAAAACCACCCAAAACAAATGCATGCAAACGTCCATGCATATACGGTGGGGATTGCAGGTCAAGCTCAAAATTTAGTTCCTCTACAATGGCAGACTTGGCAGTGTTCCATACACTGACGGATCTAGAGCAGCCCGGTCCATCCCCCAGCCCATTCAATTTTTTTACTAGAAAAAAAAATTATGTAAAAAGAAAAATTTCTTGTGTAATTTTTTTTTTTTACGTATTAGCCCGACTTGTAATTCGGTCCTGGATTCGTCCCCGGTTCCATATAAGGAACGAAGGCCCCAATTTCAAAGGGAAGTCACTTTAAGCATGCATGAACGTCAAACTTAAACAAGTGTCCTAGCAAAATTCGAAAATATCTTCATATAAGTGAACTGCACATAGTAATTAACATCACTCTGTTACCATCGATCTGGACCTTTTAAATATCAAATGTCGTCTTGAATCTCAGGGACTCTGGATGCACATTTCAACATAAATTTCTGGTTGCATCACAATTTTTTATAAATTAGTTTTACCATGTCAATTTGATCAACTTACCATAAGTCTGTAACGTGGTTCAAAAATGTTAAGTTGAAACTTCTGGCATGGTAAGATAACATCCATGACAAAAAGAGGCAACAAGTCAACACCAGGGTTCGTCAAACTGTCATTCTCTAATCTCCTTTCAGCGTACTCCTCCGGAAAGTTTCTCTGTATGATGTTCTTCAATGTGACACTGTAAAATGCCAAGTTAAAGTTACATACCTTCCATGTGAAATATGATCTTTGATATTTGCTTATTGAGAATAAGATTGCCATTTTTTGTGCCACTAATGTTTAGAAAAATCTTGCAAACATACAAGACAGCAGGAAAACTGTCACAAACCTTGTGTTAATTGCTTGTTTGGATATTTCTAAATTGAAGATTACTCTTACATATGTTGCACCAAAACTTCAATTAACGCATCATACCGCACTCAACTCAGTAACACATAGCACAACATGTGTATGTCTCATTCTGACCCTTTGGAAAGAGACACGAGTCTCCAACATATGATACAAAACCCAAAATGATAATCCTCAACTACAGTTGACAAAGAAAGTAACATAATTTCTCTTATCTAACATTATTTTTCAGTTATAATACATAATCTTCCTTGAAAATGCATTGTTATAACTATTTTCTAGTATCAAATTTCTGTAATACATCTTAACGAACACCCTACAATTTGCTTACCTATGAATGGAGTGTCCCCGCACCCACGTGTTCATGTCCAAAGTCAACTTTTTGAACAAATTCTTGTGTCCTCAACTTTGACAACTCACATGACCAATATTTAAATCTATTGTGCCCATTTCTATGTCTAACAACTGTTCTGAATCCAAGCAGCATCCCTTTTACTTAATCTCCTCACTATCCAGTCAATTCTTATGCCAGTGTTCATCAAAATAAATGTCAGTTTTCTCTCCCTAGTCCCTAGAGATAAAATGTAATATAGTAGGACAAAACGATCTACAAAATAAAGTTAACGAGTGATTTGGTGGTAAATATAATGCTTAATAAAGCTAAAAACTTGTTTAAATTACATGTTAAACTGTAAACAGCTAACCTGATTGAGCATGTACGAGGGCTAACGAACAGAACTGTTCGGCAAAGTGGACATCTATTGCCTAAAATATTTTATTCAAGAAATCGAAGAAAGGGATTATCAAGATGGTGGTTTTGTGAAAAATTTAGAAAATGAAAGAGAGGTCCAATGTACAGAAAATTCACCTCTGTCCATAGTCTGAAACAGGCATGATCGGCAGAAAGAATGTCCACAAGGAGTTGTGACAGGTTCATACAACAATTTCAAACAAACAGTGCAGTCATAATCATCAGTACGCTGAGGGTTCACATGGCTTCTCCTTGGAAACGTACTGGCGGTTGATCTCTCCAAATTTAGCAGAGGACAGCTGCGAAGGAAAATTTCATAGGTCAAACAGAAGGTTATTAATAGAAAAAATAGCAATATCAATTCAAATAATGAAATAGTTAACAAAAAACATCTTGATGTGAATATTATGTTACCTACGAGGATCAACATGAAGGCCAGACCAAATAACATCCCGAGCCACCTCATACTTTTCTAACTGCCCAATAATATCAAAGTGGGCAAAAATGTTCAAATGAACTATTCAATAAAAAACACTTCTAAAACTACATAGTCCAACAATATAAGCACCAAGTCCAAGCACCATGATACCAAATAAAAGAGAAAACAACAAAGAAAACTAAAATAAAATTGAGCACATTGAAATAACTATTGTAAATTAATTAACCAATATATTGCCAGCATTTAATTTAGCTAATTGTTAAACCAAGAATTTCTGAAAATAATTTAAAAATAATTCCAGGTATATTTCCTCCTTGAAACAGAATTTATATTTTTATCCATTCCTAGGCTTACACAATCCAAAAACTAGTTTTATTACAATTTGCTCTGAATAATGAGAAAATGTATAAAATTGCATTCTTACCAGAATTAGTGCATTTGCCTTCAGAATGTAAGGTGTTACCGAATTACTTTGTAGATTCATCACCTTATCAGCATCCTTCAATGCAAGCTGAAATCGGGGATTAAAACATTTAAAGCATTGACCTATTAGAAAATGAGCAGGTAAGGGAGAGAAAATTTGGGGGAAATGGAAAACCATGCAATAAAGAAGGCGTACCCCAGCATGAGTTGTGGGGTCCAATCCACTCAATGGCCTATATTCAGAAGCAGATGGAGGTCTATTTTTAAGAAAATGACTAATCCTGGTCCAAATTTAGGAGGAAGAAAACATGAGTCAAGAAATAGAATGAAATGAATAATGATGAAGCTCAATATCAGGATAATCACAAGTGACAATCATAAAAGATAATGTTCATCCACTACTTACCGAAGATATGCAGCACATCGATTGCTAAGAATAATAGTATCACTGGGCTTAATGTTGTTAGCTCTTGAGTAAAGTTCAATTGCCTGAAAAAAAAAAAAAAAATCTATCAGCAAAAATGTAGATTATACAATTTTAAGGCAGCAATTTATCTCCTTCAAAAGAAAGTTAAACTGGTCCATGCCATCAATACACACTTTTTGCCAGCATATAAAATCAATCACAATCTAAAAAAAGTACTAGGCTCTCCAGTTTAGGATGGCAATAACTTTCTCTAATGCAATCCAAACTGGACCTTGCCACCTTCTTGTTCACTCCCACTATTCCAATATTTGACATACTGCAATAAAACTGATAATGTAACGATCTAGGTCTCTATATTCAAACAGTTAATTTACATACTGTCCGTTTTGGGTGGGCATATGTCCACTTATCCCCTCACACCCGGGTCGTTACAAAAGTGCGTTTTTTGTAACGGTCCGGGTCTTTATACCCAAACCATTAACTTACGTACTCCGCTTTGTGTGAGCATATGCCCACTAACCTCCTCGTGGCTTTCTATCGCGTCTCCCAAGATTCGTACTCAATACCTTTACTCCAATTAATATCAAGATTCAACTTAAGTCTCTCGTTAGAAAGTCGTGAGGAGGTATGTGGGCATATGCCCACCCAAAGCAAACAGTACGTAAGCTAACGATTTGGGTACAGAGAATCGGGTCGTTACACATAATACTCAAAAATAGATAGTAACTGGTATAGCATGCCATTTACTTCCAATCAGTCCAATTAGAAAGTGATTCACACACAGGTTATAAAGATAACAATATCCTATGGCTGTTCATTTTCGATATTGTCGAAACTATATGCACATTGCCATCACTGTTGGTTGTCATTTATTTACTCAAGTTCAGCTGAAGCTATGGTCATATCTAGACGTAAAACTGAAGGGGATAGAAAAGAAAGGTATCCTGAAGCAGCCGACATTGGTAATGAAAAAACATTGTGTCCTAGACCACATGACAAAACTATCACTGGATGCCAAAAATACATGGAAATGGACACCAGCACTACTAGGACCTTCAGAAGATCCCCTATGAACAACGTTGGTTATTCTTCAGAAAAATATAAAATGGAATGTAATGTCCTGAATGAATTGTCCCGCGAAAGACGAACTTTAGCCTATTGTATGCCATCTAGATTGAACCATCTTAAGATCCCATTCCACCGCCATCAGTAACTGCAACATTTTTCGAGTTCACATTTCAATCAATGCCTGCACTGTTTTTATTTTGATTTCCTCAAGATGATCTGCTACTTCCCGATTCCATCTTTCTAATGATGAGGCCAACGGGCAGTGTCAAATTAATCATTGAAGAATTTTACTTCATAGTCACTTCGCTACTGAATCCCACTTCAAGTGCGCAGAGGATTAAAATTGTTACTTTAAAGTTCAAGAATCAAGCCCCAAAGTTGTGTGGTTCACTGATTCTTCTCGGTAAGCTATTTAACCCCGTATTATTCTGGTTCATTTATCCTTTGAAGACTCGTTCTCTTAATTGAAGTCTGGGTCCAGAATCACTTAAACTACTGAAACTTCACTCTAATCAAGCTTGTACCACTCATGAGAAAATCAATTTTTCCCAAAAATTACTTCGTTCTAAAGGGGAAAACTACGAATTCAATTCTAAAGCTATGAAGAAGAAAAGAAAAGATTGAGAAATTCACCTGATCCAATCGGTTCTCACGAAACGCCTGGTTCCCCATCTGCATGATATCATAAAGATGACTGTACCTCTCCCACGACATCGATGATCCTTCGCCTTCATTCTCCTGCATTAACCAATCCAATCCAATCCAATTACAAACACATTTTGACAAATACATACACATGAACATTAAGCTCTCACCCATGGAAAATCTTCAACATCATCAATCCCTTCTAGGGTAAATCGAGAAGAAGAGGGCTCGCCCTCACTCGACATTTCGGGAAAAAAACAGAAATTGCCAAAATTTTCGAAAACCCAAAAGAATTTTCTTCACTAAATTCGGAAACAGGATAATAAATTTGTGAATGCAGAAAAACAAAATGAATGCAGAGATTGCAGTGGCGTGTTCCTCCCTGTACCCTTCGTAGCTTACTTGGACCGTATTCGTTTACGTGTTTTTCTCTCTGTATGACTTTCATCACTACATCATTTTCTCTCTCTATATCTATGTGCCATGTGTGTATTTACAGTTAGAGTACTAAATATTTTTATTCCTATATATGGTTTGCACATTCTTAGAGCTTTCTTCCTCACTAGTCCAAATACAACCCCAATTTTTACAGTGAACTTTCGAATAACATTTGACAGTAAATTTAGGTTTTAATTTTTATTTTGGAAGGAAAAAATTGGGAGTTGTTCTCTTTGTGTTTCAATTCTATGTGTTTGTTTGGTAGGGATTTTTTGGGGGAAGAATTGATTTTGAATAGTGATATGATGGGAAATGTGTGGTTGAAAAAGAAGATAAGATTATTGATGTGATAGAAAATATTATTTTATTGAAGAATGTGTGGTTGAAAATGAGAATTGATTTACTGTTGAAAATGAGAATTGGTACCAAATATATTTTGAGTTTTGAATTCATTTTGTGTTTTATATTTTGAGTGTCCATTTTGAGATTATTGAAAATGTGTTCTTTTTGACGTTTTGAAAAATTGTTTTGAAAACACCCAAAACGCGTTTTGAAAATTTTGACTTGATTATAACTAAAAATACCGAAAACGACAATTTCTCGTTTTGAGTTTTCTTTATAAATTTTTAACTTGTTTTCGAAAACGTGTTTTCGAAAGTAGGAAATAGAACGCATTTTCACTATTTTGAAAAATTGAAAGCAGAAAACAGCTTGAAAATGTAAAAGAGAACCGTCCCTTAGGTTTTACATATATGCACACTTTATTGACTGTTGTAGAACGAATAATGCTATTTAGTTCTACTGAGTTCCAGTTTATGTAGTGTTAGATGATAAGTTAAGTAAAAAATAGAATTAAATAATCCATTTAATTTCACTTATCATTTAATATCATATTAACGTCACATAAACTGAAATTATAATTTCAGTTGAGTTAAATAGCATTGCTCTCGTGAAAATGGAGCAATTTGTTTCTTAGCTAAGTCCATGTTTGGTTTGGACAAAAAATTCATTTTTAATAGATTTTGAAAAAAGTTGATGAAGTATGTGATTAAAAAATGATAAAAATTGTGAATTCCAAATTTTTTTTAATCAAAAATGGATTTAACCAAAATCATTTGATTCTCGATTTTAATATCTCGAATTAGGTTTGTTTGATCTTGTTCTGGTTCGTATGATTTCAAATAAAAATATCCATCCCCCTAAATTGTTAGAATTTAAAGGAGCTCTCATAGTCGAGGTGGCCCACGAGTGAAAGCACGACTTGTTTGATGAATGGCAATGTCACGGGGTACCACTTATCTCTTCAATTGGGTCGTGTTGGATTGACTATACAAGCTCAAAACGAGTTAATCTACCTTATCTAAGTAGACTAACGGTTTTTTATATGATCTAGGTATACTAACGGGCTTTGGATATGTTATTCATGATATATTATCGACCCAAATATTTATATATTACGATTAATAAAATGAGGTAGTATTTTAAGTGATACAAAAGTTCAATAAATCAAAATCGTTTGTCTCAGATATTTTAAATTTGTATATATCAGTTCAATTTTACCGCGTGTTTTTCAAAACAATCAAAAGAAACCAAACAAAATTGAAACATCAAAATTTGCACATGCATAAATTAGACAATGGAATGGACAATGTTAGGGCTTTGTCATTTTTCTTGAACTCCTAGAATGCAAATTGCCTCAATAACATGAATCATTTTGTCTAAAATTCTTGTATTTTTTGCATTGGATTATTCTTAATACAGTTGGATTAAGGTTTAACCATATCATAAATCCACCATTAGTAATTTAAACACAAAAATTAAAAAAAATATGGGCCGTCTGGATTTATCGATGAAATCGTGGACCGTCAATCCTTATGAAAACACAACCAAACAAATGCCCCAAAACAAAATAATAAACTTTATAGAAAAATAAAAATAAAGTTTGGGGATGAAAATTAGGTAATGTAATTTAATGAAGACAGTTAAGATACAACAAATAAGTAGTCAAATTCAGTACCAAAGTTTTAAAAGCAATAATATTATGTGCAATATTTGGAATCGAAAGCCAATAATTTTCGAGTGTGATTTGAATTTTCGAGTACACTTTTTTCTTGAATAATGTTATTCATTGTCTAAGTTCAATGTAAAATGCAAATAATTCACTAACTTCAAATATTATTGGAAAAAAAATATTATTTATAGAACCCTAATCACAAAATTATCCTTACAATATCGTAAAGTACCGAAATCAAAGCCCCACATCCCCAACTTATCAGCATCTAACCTCATAAATGAGTAGATTCCACTAAAGACTACTATTATGGGCATATCGGTTCGTCGCGTCCGCTCCAAATCAACTAGCCTCCCATAGATAAGAAATATGAGCCATCTAACCAACACAAATAATCATAGCAGTAATGATGAATAAGATTGGTCGTTTTTCTAATAGGTCATCGAATTAAGATTAAAGTTATTTATCATTATAATGATTAAACATCGGTGAACGACAATTTAGGTGGAATAATGGGATAAGACGATTCAATTTTCATGAATTATTCTCGAATTAATAAATTGTGCATGGAAAAAATTTATACAACTACTATTATTCAAATTATGTAATTCCTTCTCCTTTTTTTTTTTTTTTTTTTTTTGCTTTTGTCTTCAATTAATATGTACGAGATAATTCGAAAAATATTTTGCTCGAAATTTGCAAAATTATTTTTATCTCTTAAATATAGCTTAATTTCAAAGAAATTATATTTGTGAGAGATTATTTTGATGCCACGTTCCCAGCTATTATCCACAATTCAAATGCATGGTCTATGGAGAATTTTCAAAAATTGTGGTCGGTCCAAAATGGAAAATAGGGACATTATTGTCATGTTATAGATATAATCCATTTGGCTAATTGACAATACACGTCAAACGTTATCATCAGTCGGCTAGATGTCCTTGTCCACAAGTTCCCTTTTCAAATTTAATCCGTATCGTACTCGTATTTGATTCGACAGTTGTAGACGTGAATCAAATAATATTAGACAATAATAAATATTGAGAAAATAAATAAAAATTATATATGGTAAATTATATCGTCTAAGCTTCTTGTTGACACGTGAAGGAAAGTAGGAGTATGAAGGGGCAAGAATTACCACTATAGACATACGATTGTTTAAGTCTTTTACGCTTAGCATTGAAAAAAATATGTTTTTACAGTAAAGGTGCTAAAACCTAAAACTAGGCGAACTTACTTTAAAAACTTGAACAGATCCCACTTGACCTATTCTTTTAATTGTTAGCATAATTGGATACGACAACCGCAATTCTTCCAACTTCTGTCTCAAGAATGGATGTGTAGGTTATCGAATTCCAACTTAGAGTTCTTTCTACTTGAAACTAGGGTAATTAGTACAAAACGTCTCCATTGTTGGCAATCATTGCGCGAATCGTCCCTACGTTTCAAATTAAGCATTTATACCCTCATTTCAATATTTTCTTGTGGAGTTGGTCCTTTTCGTCTCATTTCATCAGTGAAATTGTTTGCTGTCATTGCACAAAAAGTCCTTATTGTCTATTTTCACCATTGAAGTACTGTCAAATAATTTATATATATAACGATGTTAACGTTTTATGAACGTCGATTACAGTATTAAATCACCTTGTGCCTATTTGTAATTTTTCACGGTGAAAATCTATTACAATATTAACATTAAACATACTCTAAATTAACACATTAGAGCAATTAAAGTTACCATGATGTGAAAATATTGACCTAATATGGCATAACAATGCCAACTTTAAATCAATAATCCAAGCAAGTCCTATCTCACAAAGGCACATTTTGCCGGACATATGCCTATTAGCCGCAGCATCTTGAGATCCTTTTTTTTTAGGAAAGTACAGAGTGTTTTAGCCGTATTAGAATATTATAGACGGTCATTTATGCCACGACAATTCAGTATCTTAGATTCACAAACTAATTGGAATTTAATTGAATAATTAAAGAAAACTTATAAAAGTTTACTAATTAGAATCTGCCGGTTTAATGGATGACTAAATTAAATGTTTAGTAATAATAAAGTATTTGAATTTCATGTAAAAACAAAATGCCGAAATTATAGAATCTTGAACTGAATTTTTTTTTTTAATTTTTGTACTGAGTGAGGTCATGGAGATGTTGACTGGCCTTTGAATAAAATTTTTTTAATGATGGTTTTATTAAGATATTTTTTATTTGTGGAGAATGGAATTTCTTTGACGGCCACGAAGTTATCGGAGAAATTGCCGAGTAAATATATAGATTCAAATTTGAATATAACTTCATAATGATACGGAGTCAACCCACTCCTACTCACCCTAGGACGCAACAACTTGTGGACGTACTAGGAATTGTGTCATCCTACCTTCCCGTCGATCCACATTTTCAGAGGTTGGTGATGAACAATGTTGCTCGACCTAATCTTCAGAATCCATATACACAAGATTTGGACTGCACATGATGCTAGTTCATTTTCAATTTTGAAACTTTACCATTTTGAAAGAGACTGGTTAAGATTAAAAGCTATAGCATTTTGAAAGAGACTTGTTAAATGGCTTTGATTGATCTCAGTTAATGAAAAACCCAAAGTATATTTTGGGCTTTGAAAAATACATACTTTTTATGGGCCGGTCCATCTCACATGGGTCTAAATTCGGTGTTGCACTTGGTTCCTCACAATTGTTGATTTCAAATTTGGGAAAATTACCAAAAATCAGACATTAAGTTTGTGCTTTTAAAAAATCAGGGTTTCACTTTTTTTTTTTTTTAGAT